GACTATAAGAATGTGATGTGCACCAACACTGGATTTGTCAGATTTTGATGATCATGCTTTACCTAGCTGCATGGCAAAGTTCTGTGATGTGTGGTGGCAAAGACCACAATGTCTATGGGTGCAAACTGGACCCTCACTGTGTTAATTGTAGTGGTTCCCACCCCTATTGCTATAGATCTTGCTCTAAGTGGTTGAAGGAGAAAAAGATAGTGTTTAAAAATTTTAACATTTCTTATCCAGAGGCTTCAAACTTGTTGCCCCAAGTCCATCATAGAAATATGCTGCTGCACTCCATTCCACTGCTAAAGTTGGTATAAAGACTGAGCTACATGTGCTTCCATCAGTCTTTTTTTGCATCATGTGAAGTATCTTTTGCCCTCTATGGATAAACGACTTGACAAGTCTGCATCTACTCCTACCTCTGTCTCCACCATTCCATCTAGTGACTGCCCAGGTCCACCATCTTTGGCCCTGAGATGAAGAATGGTTATTTGTTCATGCCCTCAGTTGCTGGAATCTAAGTCTAATGACAGAGATCTGCCCACTCGACCAAAAGCAGGATCCATGGTCAAAGTTTTTAGCTCATAATTTTCTTTTATCTGGAACTGATCCACCACTGTGTGGCCTTTGTGACGTTCAAGTCACAATAGCCCACGTTTTACTGTCATTACTTGTGTGTTAAAGTGCCCATATTTTTCATCTTTTGCTACCTTCACCTACAAGTAGCCCAGTGTGCTAAACCAACAGGTTTTCATCATATGCATACAGACATTAATCTTTATATGGCAATGGTTGACATAAGTTACATTTGCCTACATAATATTTTGGCATACATCCTTCTTCCCATACAATAAATACTAACAATGACGCTCTTGTATATATCTAGCAGCCACTGCAATAACTAAAAATTGTACTTTATGTCCATGTATTTTAACAGGCTCTTATCAAACCATGCTCAACTCTGTACATGTTAAATTAACCATCACACCTGTAACTACAATCTCAAGCTACTGTGTTTTTCTGTACAAACTTGTTAGAAAGTAACCTATTCAAACAGACAATACAGAATACTGTGCAAGCTCGTTTGGTGAATTTTAAAATTGTGTGTGGACCAATACTTGAAGTAGGTGACTTGTAGTCAGACATATCCATAGTTTCTTCTCTTTTCTTGATTTTAATCTCTTGTTATGTAGACCTCAAACTCAGCATCCAGACAACATAGAAGTTCAGCCAGATTTGGTAACAGAACATTTTATTTGTAAATAAAATTGTTGTATTTATAACTATACTAGTATTTGCTTGTTTTTCTAAGTGTCCATGTTCACTTTATTTTCAACAGATCTGAGCCTATACTTTGAAAAACTTTGTGGCTTTCTTATAAGACATCAGTATTTTTTCCACACTTAGATAAATCTTGTATACTAAAAGAGATTAAAGAAAAATTGAAGCCAACCTCTAAAACAGTAGTTCCTAGACTTTTGCTAATCATGGACCAGTAAAATTCCAAAAACATTTTCAGACATTCCAAATAAAATATCTGTTAATTACACAAGTAAAATATGATATTTACAAAAAACAATATATTTCAAAAACAAAAAAGGCAGACTTAGGCAACTCTTAGTCATCAAACATTAATTTATATGTACTGCTAAGATGTCTGGGAGTCACCACCATAAAAACAGATAATTTGAATACTCAGATTTTGACTTCAGTATGTACTGTATAACTTGATAATAAGTGCTTACCAAAAGACTCTCAGAACCAAATAGATGTAGACATGTATATTTCATAGCTGTGAGATAAAACAGAATATATCAGAAATCTGCAATGAAAGACATGCCTTGAATTCATATCTAGCAAGGCCTTGCTGACTGACTTCTCTTTCTCAATTCCTCTTTGCATGTTCTGCCGATAACCTTTCTCATAAGAAGCATCCTTTTTGAAACCTTCACTTAAATTATTGGCTTGCTTGCTTTCTACACCACACTTTTGATTCCAAAGCAACTGCCTTATGTATGAGGTAGCTTAAATTAATGCAATCTGGAGCAAGAATTAAGACTAATCAGGTGCCCCTTTCTTACAGTTAGGAGAATTTTAATTAATTTCTCTTAATTAGAATGTTTTTCCTGCAAAGCAAAAAATCTCCCTGTTATGGTACATCTTCAGGCCAAGACAAACAATGCTCACTTATAACATTTTCTATCTGTTCAACCACTGCCACTGTAGAGAGTGCAACAAATGGATAATATTGTTTTTATATGTATAAAGATTATAGTATCTCTAGTCAAGTGTTCTCTAATATTGCTCATGGATGTCTATCTCTTAATACTATGTAATTCACTTGGATACACCTAAATAAACATTCTACACATTAAAATTTATATATTGCTCCTGATAGCATCACTAAAAAGGTAAAGTGTAATATTTCTATTCTGCCATCATTGTTCCATAATTACAATTTTTCTATATAAACCTATTTATGATCAAATTTAAAACAAACTTTTAGAATTAAAAAATTCTCAACCATGAAAGATAAGCTATTAAACAATAAACTATTTTTATGCACATTTTTTTAATCAGCAACCTATTATTAGTAAATGACATTTTAGTATGCAGTACAGTGGTGCCCACAGATATATATATATATATACAGATAAGGAAAAATAATGATGGGTAAAAATATCCAGCAAAGTAACACAAAGGTATGTATTCTTTGAAATAACACAACTTAAAGAAATGATGTAGGAATATACTTTTTTGTTCCTTCTTTAAAAGATTAATCAACCACGTGTATTATTTCAATAGATATTTTAGGTAAATCTTATGAACTATTAATTCTTAAAATATTCAGTTAAGTAAACATTTTCTGGTCTGCAAGTTCCAGTATACATGTCCAGACTGGCTAAATGGATGTTTATGGTTAGAACTTAACATGTAAAATATTATGAATCTTTTTTTTTAATGCAACACTTACCAATTCAGAACCAAGCTACAAGTATTCACGTTTCTGTCTTACAGGTGTAATCAATTCTTCAACTTATAATGTTTAACCCCCAGGATGTTTATCACAGTAATAAAGTTATATTTTGTGTGAACAGGTGCAATTTTTAAGTTTTATTTTATGTACAGATGATTCACAAATGCAGCACTTTCCATATCCAGACTGTTGAGGTACATAAATAGTGTTGTAAGTGATCCTCTTCAAGCAGCTCAGATTGTTTCTTGTAACTATGGCTTAAGATTTCTCAAATTTTATTTAAAAAAAAATTCAACATCTATAGCTTAAAATTTTGCCTTCACACAGTATTGTTTATCACTAACAGATATCATATTATTTAAAAAAAACAATTACCTCATATGTTGCCATTATATACATATATACTGATAAGGTTATGTGTGTGTATATAAATATATATATTTATTAAGAACTACAATATTAAGCAAAATCTGCTGCTTTTTTTAATTATTAATTCTTTGAACTAATCTGTGGTCCACTTTCAAATATTTATAATTTAATCAGCAATTTTCTGTATTTACCAATAAAAAAGTTAATCTTTACAGAATTTTTCATATACTAACATTACTATATTTTAAAGATATAACTACTGACCAGATGGAAAGCAGCAACCTACCATCAACTAACAGAGAGACTGTCACTCTTACAAACATACACAGCTTGGTATGGGGGAATATTTAGTGGTATTGCATAGATACAAGTTGTCCTTGCTAGTTCCAAAATCCAGAGTTCTAGCACAGGTCCAACCCCCCCCACCCCCCCACTCTTATATACAACAC